TATTAGGGATGAAATAAAATAAAGTTTATTTATTCTTTTTACTGTTTTCTTTTTATTTCAAAACATAAATCTGACCCCATACATAACATGAAAATGTCCGCACACACGTATATATATATTTTCTTCTATCCAGGGAAAAACATGTACATACGTAGCGGTGGATGACTAGATATTCTGTTAACAAAGAAAAAGATATATCTAGTCATCATAGATCAAAAGAAAATAGAATCAAGTACAAATGATATAACTATAAGAAAGGAAAATAAAGAAAAGAGAAAGAAAATGAGAGAGACCTAGACAGGTAGAATAGAGTGGAAAATGATGTGAAGGGCGAGCCCGTAACAGTCGCCCCTTCTTGAAAAAGATGTGTGTCCTCACACATAAAAATATAACAACAAAAAAAATGAAAAGAACGATAACAAATAATAATAACAAAAAACTACTATATGTTTTAACAATGTGATCTGACAGATAACAAAAAAGAGGAAAAATGTGTATAAATAAAAAATGTTTTTTTTTTTTTTTATTGATTTTTGTCGAGGTGGAGTTTTTTCCGAATCCGATAATAATGTTCTTTTGTAAATAAGCCATCGTGTAATTTTTCGTCGACTTCTTTTTCCATTTGTTTATTTTTCATATCCAAAAATAAGGTATGACCAACGACATTTAAGTTCTCATGAGGAATGTTCATAAATATTAATATTTTCTTGATGTTGCTGATGTTAAATTTGTGGTAAATTCGTCGAATAACTTCAAATCGATATCTTCTTCTTCGTTTCTTTCTATTTTTTCTTTGGTTTCTTGTTAATGATTGATGTTGTTGATGTTGTCGATGTTGTCGAGATCGGAATGGTCTTGTTGTTGTTGTATATTGTTCAATATCATCATCTGAAATTATTTCAATTTCATTTAAAGACTTACCTTGACCATGAACCCGTTCTTGAGGTTCATCTAAATGATGTTGTTTCAATGGTAAATGTAATTTTGTAATTTCTGGTAATGAAATATCATCAATTTCATTATCACTTATCACTTCATAAGGTTCATCTCGTACATGAACCCCGGTTAATGAATTTTGTTTTTGTTCATCAGGAATATCATTATCATTTAATGTTAATTCATCATTTGGTGCATTAATTTCAACATAATATTCTTCTTCATAATATTTAAGTGTAACTATATCATTACATGTTGTTGTTGATGTTGAAGATTTTGTTGGTGATGGTAATTTATTTACTAATTTCGTAACACCGAGACAATCATTTAATGCATAATTAATTAATAATTCTTTTATTTCTTTTTCGTCTTCAATGACTTGTTCTTGCATATACATAAATTGTTTTGGTACAGTTATTGTATATAATGCTGGATCAAGCCCACAGCCAAAATTTCCAAGTGTATAACGTTTGGTTAACCATTCGTTGAATGTGTTGAAGATTGCAAATTGAAGAGAATAAGTTTCGTTTGATTTTAATTTAATATCTGGTGATGTTGGATAGGTTGTGTTGAAATATTTTTTAAATTCACCTTGTACATTTCTTCCATTAACATGATTAATATCATTTTTATCGAATAAATTGTATTGATAAAAATCTTCAAGTTCATTGGCAAGGTTTCCCCATGAATAAATTGTATGTCCCATCGAAAATATAATTTTACATAATTGTTTAATTTTTGTAAATGTTGGTTCATTTTGTTCTGGTAAATACATACATTCAATAATTAGTAAAATTGATGGATTATTATCATAAACATATTCAATTTGTATTAATGCTGGAATTGATGGTCTTTTTGGTACTAATTGATCTTCAGTATCAATTGTGTAATGTTTTACTGCTTTGGCATAATCAATTAAATCATCGAGTAAATCAATAGGTGTTTTTTTATGAATATGATAATACCTATAAGAAGATAATGGTTGAAAAATATTACATTTACCTTGTTCATAGAGTTGTTTTAATCGATTTTCTTCTTGTACTCGTCCAGGTTGCCAATTTTTTGTTCGTTCATCCAATTTTTGTAATGGTGAAATATATTTTGGTCGATTTTGATGATGTGATGATGAATTTATATTTCTTGTTGTTGATGTTGCACAAATAAATTTCGACATTTGTATATATATATTAATATAAAGATAATGAATAATGTTGAAGATGAATAATTAAGGAAAAATGTAACAATGTAAATATCTAGAACGAGAAAAACATGTATCGCCAGGACTTTCATCAGAAAGTCCTCTTATTCTTCAATCCGACTCTCATGAACCCGTTGAAGGTTCATTTATAATAGTAGTCATTTAATTTCCTTTGAATTAATGATTATGCCGATCAATAATAAGAAGTAATAATTTCAGGAAAATTTCTGTTGTATCGATTAAATATCTGATCTTGTGTAACACATGTAACGGTAGCGTGCGAATTACCATAAGAGGGAGAAAGGAAGAGAAAAAAAAAAGATATATGTGTATATGTATGTATATGTGTATCTGCCATGAGGAAAGAAAAAAGAATTTTTACTAGAAGTGAGAAACATAACAAAAGTATTCGTTTAATGTTTACATATATATATATTAAAGGTATGAAGAGAAGAAAAAAAAAAAAAGGTTCCATATAGTTTGAAGAACGGAGAACGAGAAAAATAGAAAGGAAAGATAAAAACTGGATAGATAAATACGAATATATATTGGACATATAAGTGACCATAGAAAATATAAATTATTTAATCTTGTTTAATCACATATTTCTACGTTCATATAAGGGTCTGATGACATCTGTTGTGACTTGTCGTGTTAATATTGAATTTTTTATATGTTTAACAGTATAAGTTTTTGGACCAAGTTTTTGTATTATTCGATAAGGTCCTTCATATCTAATGTCAAATTTGTTTCGTCGATTAAGTGCTTGAATTAAGACTAAATCACTAATTTTATAAACTGGATTTGTTCGATAACGATCATATCGTTGTTTATATTTCTTCTGCTGCTGTAAAATATTTATTTTTGCATGCTCAGTTAATGATGATAAATATTTTTTTACTTTTGTAACATGTTCTGGATCTTGTGAAAGAGTAACAATAGGTTGTTGGTGATCAAATGGTAATACCGGTAAACGGCCATACATTAATTCAAATGGAATAATTCCAGTTGTTGTATGAATACTTGTGTTGTAGTTGAATGTAACATATGGTAATTGTTCATCCCAATTTGTTCGATTTTCATTTGATAATGTTGCTATTTTTGAATCCATCGTTGCATTATAACGTTCAACTTGTCCATTTGTCATCGGATGATAAGGTGTTGAATATAAATGGGTTACACCTAATGTTTTAAATACTTCTGTCATCATTGAAGCCGTAAAGTGGGTTCCATTACCTGTAAGAATACATTTCGGAGTTCCATATTTGAGAATAACTTCTTCAATAAGAAAATGTGCTGCTGTTATTGCGGTGCAATCCCGTACTGCTTTAGTAATAACGAATTTGGATAAAACATCAGTTAATGCAATAATATATTTATTTCCATTTCTTGATATTGGTGTAATTGGTCCATGAAAATCCATTGTAAGCAATTGCCATACTCCTTCAGGAGGTTTGATTGGTTGTAGAGCACCTGGTGGTTTTTGTCGTAACTGATTATTTTGTAAACATGGTATACATGATTTAACATAATTCTTTATATCATTGATCATCGATGGCCAAAAGTATCTTTGTCGAATCTTCTGAATGGTTCTATTCCGACCAAAATGTGCTCCGTTGGCGGGTGTATCATGATAAATTTTAATTATATCGGATCGAATTCGTCCCTTTGGTACAAATGGTACTGGTGGAGACGATTTTTTCATTAACATATCATCTTCCACGAAATATCCATTGAAATTATTAATATGCAATATCATGTATTTTGTTTCCTCATCTTGATGTTGTAATTCTTTTAATTGTTCATATGTAAATGGCATGATTCGATCGTCAATAACATTCGCAGGTTGTTGTTGATCTTCCGAACCACAGGAACGGTCGATTGGGAAATCGATATTCCTTTTCGGCTGTTCTTCATCACAGGACTGATCGATCATATGATCGTCATTCCTCTTATCGTGCTGTTGTTGTTTCGCTTGTGCCCGAGTAACTACAGACGCTGTAATAGCTGTTATCATCGAATTTTCAGTTTGTGTTGATTGAGATTTAATTGGAATATAATCATCTTCATCGTAAGATGCGTTATCTAATGGTGAACGTGATAAATAATCTGCTACTGTATTGTGTTTTCCTTTGATATAACGAACCATAAATTTATACTGTTGTAATTTCAAACGCCATCGTTCACATTTCGAATTTAATTGTTGTTTTGTATTAAATGGTACTAAAGGTTTATGATCTGTTTCAATTATAAATTCACGTCCATCTAAATATTTATGCCATTTCTCAATTGCATATATAATTGCATAACATTCTTGTTCGGTTGCAGGCCAATTCATTTGTGTTGTTGTAAATTTCTTCGATACATATGCAACTGGTAAATCACCATTTTGATGAGTTTGCATAAGTACAGCTCCTATTCCAATCTTTGATGCATCCGTTTGAATTTTAAATGGTAAATGTGCATCTGGGATACGCAAAACTAAATCATTAGTCAATATTCGTTTTAATTTATTAAATGTATTAAGTTCTTCATCAGATAAAGTAATATGTGTAGATTGTGATTTTTGTGACCGTTGTTCTTTAGTAGTTGGAGCATACTTATATAATGGTTCTGCGATAATGGAAAATTTTGGTATGAATTTGCGATAATATTCGGCTGCTTTGACGAATCGAAACGCTTCTTTGGCAGTTGTTGGTTGCGGAGTTTCTGATAATGCTCGAATATTATCTGTATTTGGTCTAATATTGCTATGTTCAATATGATGACCAAGATAATCGATTGACGTTCTTGCTATCTGGCATTTTTCAACATTGAGACGAAAGTTTGCATCATTTAATCTATTCAGAATATCATCGAGATGAATTAAATGTTGTTCGAAACTTGATGAATATATAATGACATCATCAAGATAAGCTAATGAATATTGCCATCTTGTAGGCCCAAGTATTTGACTAACAATTCGTTGAAATGCTGGTGGACCATTAGTAACACCTTGAGGTAATACTGTGAATTGATAATGTTGGTCTCTTGTTGAAAATGCTGTTTTTGGACGATCTTTTGGATCCAATCCAACTTGAAAATAACCCGATTTAAAATCAATTGTAGTATAATATTCAGCTTGTGATAAATGATCGAAAATATCATCGATTCGAGGTATTGGAAATGCATCTTTTGTGGTGATGTTGTTTAATTTTCTGAAATCGACACAAAATCGAACCGATCCATCTTTCTTTCGCACCAACACTATTGGTGACGACCATGGAGATTTGGATTCTTCAATAATTCCTTGTTTTAATAATTTATCGATTTCTTCACGTTGTATTTGTTCATCTTTGTATGAAACACGATATGGTGGAGTATAAATTGGTGGATGTGCTCCTGTTTCAATAGCATGATGAACTGTTGCTTTAATGATGGATGGTTTACGAAGATCAAATAATTTTCCATGCTTCCATAAAATACGTTGTAATTGCTGTCTTTGATTTAAATTGTCAATATGTGATGTTAATTTTTCAATTTCGTCTCTTATATCTTGTGGATAACATTGTTGACGTAGATGTTGTTGTAAATCATTTCGAGTCAGGAATGGTTCCTGACAAACATAACATTGATATTGTTCATTATCATCCTGGTTGCTCTTACAGGTAAAGTCCGTAAATCGGACCTTCCTTTTCGGTTGTGATAATGGAGCACAGGAACGACTCTGTAAAATGTCATTCCTATTACGGATAGATGTTTTTGAATGTATTGGTCGACCAGTTCCTATGTTTGCTAACACTGGTAAAATAGAATAATTATTCAATTCAGATTGACATGAAATATATCCGAGTTTGGTGTTTTTCGATAATGTCCGTTGTCGATTATGCACATTAATAATCATGAGTTTGCTTTTGCTGTTGTCTATTCGAATTAATGCATTTGTTAACAATATTTGTTTCGAATATAAATTCGAAGCTGGTTCAAATAAAGCTTCAGTTATACCGTTCATTCGTGATTTAACTTTCACATCAATGCATCTTTCTGAATATGGTGGTAAAGTAATTTCATCGATTAGTAATATCGGCAATTGAACATCAGGCGGTTTAATAAATGGTGTTGTTGCTATTGTTCGATGATATTTATCTGTAAGAAAAATACGTTGTTGTGGTGAATGAATAATTACGTTATTTTCAGTAATCCAATCATTTCCCAATAATAAATCAGTTACAAGATTTGTTGCGACGTCCGCTAAGATTAACGTTTTGTACCCCTGTATTTTGACTTCAAGTTCAATTTCTCCAATGATGTTGACTGATGTACAATTTGCTGATTTATGTAATTTCTTTCTATAAATAAATTCCTTGTGATGAATTTCCTTTAATAATTGTTGATTAATAATGGTAACTGCAGATCCAGTGTCAATAATAGCATGCTGTTGTTTGTTGTTAACTTGCACTTTGATGTAAATGGGATTTGATGATTGTGGTGACATAATATTAATTGTTGATGGATTTTGTTTGGTATTACTGGAATCACCACCATCACGGGTTCCAGCTAGTAGAAAACCTTCGGACAATCACGTATGTAATGATCGGATTGTCCACATTTATAACATCCATTTGGTTTTTTATAATAACAATCTATTGTACGATGATTGTTTCGTTGGCATATTGAACAAGGATTCAGTTGTCGTCTGTTAGTTGTCGATGAGTTAATTGATGCAGCATTTTTCGATGAAATGTGTTGTGTGTTGTGACGAAATGTTGATGATTGTGGTGTATAAGTAAATGAACGCTGTCGTGATGGTGAATAGCGAGTTGTTGGTGGCGATCGTTTTTGTGCAATCTTGTTTTTCTGTTGTTGGTGAAGACTTTCAGGTTCATGTGGTGTAATCATTCGTGGAGAGTATGAATGCTTCGGTACATTTGAAGGTATATCATCCATTTGCTTTAATGTTGTTGATACTGTGTTTGCAAAATATGGCATATAAGGTAGTGTTTCAGATTTTGAAGCATTTTCTTCTTGTAATTCTTGTTCATCTTTTGCAATTTTTAAAAATGCTTGTGTTGTTCGAGCTGATTCAGATAATAGCTTTATTTGTCGTTTAATTTGAATCTTTAATGAATCTTTAATTCCATTTTCCAACCATGAGATTATCATTTTTTGTGACATAGATGGATCATATTCATGACATAATTTAATGATAGCATCATAATAAGACGTGATGGTTTCATCCGATTTTTGTTTACGTTCTTTTAATTGTTCGAATATTTTTGATGATGAATCAGATGTTGTGAATCTTTCAAGTAATGCCGATCTTAATCCTTCCCATTGGGTTAATGACATGTTATTTTCGTACCAACGTTTTGCTTCACCATCTAATTTTGCTGTACACATACAATGTAAAATATCATCATTTGCATTAATCATCCTTCCAATCCTTTCAATATTATTAATAAATTGTAAAACTTTTTGATCTTCACCACCATTGAATTTGTCCAAATTTGATAAGCATTCACGATAACATATCATCATTGCTGAATCTTGTGCAGTGTGAGACATTGTTTGAATTTGTTCGGTAGTATTATTTAATGAGTCCAGAGTTACTCTTTTTACTGTACGTTCAGATGTTTTTGTTAATAAATCACCAGTAAATTCTGGATCGTTACCAGCACTTCGAAAACTATAAGCCGTTATTTTAATATCAATAATAAAGTTGTGATAATATAATGTTGAATTCAATCGATAACGTTGTATGTATAATAATTCATTGAGTTATTCTCTTCTTTTTATTTTTATCTTGTTTTACCTCTCTCAGACAATTCCTAATGGAAATATCTTTTTAATTTAATCGAGGTTTTGCAGGCAGCTTCCAATGGAGCTACCTTTAAACTAAATGAATAAATAAAAAAAATGTAATCACTTACCGATATGTATATTTTTTTTTTTAAAATTCCGATGGTATATGAAAAATGTTTGTGTTGGTTCGTGTTTTATTATTAATAAATAATAAAACAGTCGGTCACGGCACCAATATTAGGGATGAAATAAAATAAAGTTTATTTATTCTTTT